TTTTAAAAAAAAAAAAAAAAAAAAAAAAAAAAAAAAAAAAAAAAAAAAAAAAAAAAAAAGATCACTTCAACAAAAAATTGAAACAAATATGGCAAATGTTAAAAGTTATTCAGTGTAGGTGATGGGCTTATGGAGTTTACAACAGTATTTTCTCTACTGTCCTGTATGTTGTAATTTTTTCATTATTTAAAGTTTTTAAAAAAAGGCTTTGCACCTAGGAGTGTAGTACAGTGATTTGTCAGCTAAAAAGTACTGCTTTATGATCAGTGGATGTTGCTTTATTGTGCCTTTGTGCTACAGCCATAAATGGCAGTAGACTTGGAAAGTAGGTGATTTCTTCATCCATGGGACATTACAGTAAAACTGAAATAATACCCCCTTCTCCTGCCTTCCCATGCTCTGATTTTGTAACTCCGTCTATCATTATGGGAGGTGAAAAAGTTCAGAAGTAAACCTGAAACATATGGAATCCAAAAGCTGGTATTTTAAACATTTTGTTTCAACCTCAAGTTTTAAAAAAGAACAGTCTTTAGCTACAGTTACCAAAGTTAGTTTCTTTCCTTTCAAATGTATATTCTGCAACCTGGATTATATTAACACATATGAAATGGTTGGCATCGTCTCAGGTACGTGTACGCCAATCAGTTGCCCTTCTTTTTTCTTTCCTGTTCAGAGATTTCTCGGAGTTATTGTTACATCCTCCTGTGCTGTTTATCCAGACAGTGTGTTTTTGTACAGTCTCATATATGCCAGTATTGGGTTTCCTGGGGATATTTTGACACCCAGACCATAAAATAAATCATAGTCCCATTTCAATTGAACTGACTGATGGAAATAAGAAATTCACATTGCAGTGTGGGCTGTTTCACATGACCTGGCTACTGACAGAACAAAGCATGTTGTTGTGTTTTTATTCCCACCTAGATTTAATTTGTAACTCTCTTTTTTTTCTTATTTTTCATCCACACTGCTGTCAGCAGTTGCAGATTTAATAGCAAAGGGAATCTTGCTCTCTTCTTTCCTCAACCTCCATAAAGCTATAAATACTGGAACCTTATTTTTTAAAAAACAACCATGCCCAGATGGAGGTATCTTGATTTTGAACTGGGGTTAAGATCCTAATCATTTTGTCATCGATTGAAAATACCCATTGAACTCCTGTCACGTAAGGCACTACTGGAGGTGCCATAGGATGAGAGGTTGTACTGGGGGAACGCAGGGAACTAGAAGGCCTGGTGGCTGTCTTCAGCAGTTTGCATACTCTTTGCAGAGGCATGAGAAACAATTACTATGGAAAGTGTATGATAAGCCCCAAATGAGTGCCATGGGCTGTAAGTGCGGTACAGTAGAGTCAAGAAATAGTTTCTAGCTGAGACCATCATGGATTCGTGGATGATATAAAATTTCAACTGAACTTTCAGGAAGAGTTAAAATTTTGACAGTGAGAGAGAGGACAAGAGGCTATTTTCATGTGGTACTAATGAGTATATCGACAGGCCAGTTTGGCTAAAGAGAAGAGCTCCTCCTTTGGGACTGAGCAGAGTGAGTTCAGGCATTTGGATTATGGTAAACAACGGGGGAAGAGTAAAGGTTTGGGGAGTAACATGAGTAAGGCTGTGCTTTAGGAGCTGAATCTAGCAGTGTAGACCAAAAGGTAGGCTGCAAGGAGGAGCAACCAGGGAAGGGATATAAATTAGATCACTGCAAAATAGTCCAGGTGGGAAAGAGAATAAAAGTATAAATTCAGGTAGTGACAGTGAGAATAGGAAGGAGGGATGGTTACAAGATGCATTGGGAAAGAAGGTCTGATTAGATTTGATGACTGAACATAGGCCCTCTGAAAGAGAATAGGAAAACACATGAATTTGTATCATTTCATTGATGCAAGCAGTTAAATATAAGTTTAATATAGCTCATAAGACTCATCTGTGAACCTTTGAAAGAAAACTTTTAGTTCTTCATTGTTAATATACAGGAATTTTAGCTCCACTCTTATAATTACTAAGCTTTTTACACAAATCCTAAGAATGGTGTCCTAGTCAGTTTGGGCTTAAAATACCATAGCTTCAACAACAGAAATTTATTTCCCACAGTTCTGGAGGCTGGGAAGTCCAAGATCAATGTTTGATGAAGGCCTTCTTCCTGGTTTGTAGACAGCTGTCTTCTCATTGTGTAGACAGAGTGAACTCTAATCTCTTTCTCCTCTATAAGGACACTAATCCTATCATGGGGGCTCCACTCTTATGACCTCATCTAAACCTAAGTACCTCCCAAAGGCTCCACCTCCTCATACCATCCCATTGCAGGTTTGGGTTTCAGCATATGAATTTTGGGCAGACACAAATATGCAGTTCATAACAAGTGGCTATTCACTTCCTCTAGCCTTGATTGCCTTTTTATCCGTCTTTTAGAGGATGATGCTGGGGGAGGGGGATGTAACTAAAACTTTAATAGGATTTTTTTGGTTCATAAATAGAAATGTAAAAGTACTCCTAAAAAAATAATCATAGTTTAGGGGAGAGGAACTTGGAGGCAGACCCAGAAGGAGAGAGTCATGTAGAAAAGGCTACCTTGAAGGATGTTCATCGTCCTTCAGTGGAGGGACAGAGCCAGCTCTGCGTGGCTCATCAGCTGGGAGCTAGGGAATAGATCCTCTGACCTTACTCTCTTCCCTCCCATCCCTTCTGATCTTCTTTCATTCTCTAATACAGATGGCAAGAGAACCCATTGGTGTGGTCCATACAGGTCAGCCACTGGGGGCAGATAGAGAGCGGAGAAGGGCAGAGAGTAGAAGTGGGGGTGCAAACAGAAGGTAACTTTCACAGTTAGCATCCTCTTTACAAAGTATAACAGTGTACGGGAATGTTGAAGGAAGTTCTTCATAGAATTATAAAATGTTAGAGCTGGAAGGATCTTGAGAAGTAATTATCAACCTTATTTTAGAGCTGAGGAAATCGAGCCCTATAGAGGTAGTAGCTTACGTACAGTTAGTTGTTACAGAGCTGATACAAAGTGACAGACTTTTTGATTCTCAGCCCTAGCTCTTTCCACTAGGCCAGGCACTATTTAGCATGGGTGAAAATGATAAGGAAGTCTCAGCTGTTATTCAAGAAAATGCGTAAGCATTATAGGCACAGCCATTACAGTAGGACAAGTTTCTGTAACAGAAGTCATGGAGTCATTGCGGGTAATCTGGAAAATGCAGAAACGTGTCAAAAGGAAAATAAAATCACCCATAATGGACCAGAGATAACTACTGTTAGCATTTTGGTGTGTTCTTATCCGTTTTTTAAAATCAAAATGTACATAAATATGTATATCCTTGTATGCAGAATTAATATCAGTTTTACATATAGTTTTGTATGTGGTTTTTTCACTTATTAATGAACAATTTCCCATGTAGCAAATTGTCTTAGAATCTGAGTTTTAATAGCAATAACTTTTTAAAATGGATGCAGCATAATTTTTTTAAAGTCCCCTGTTATTAGACATTTGGGTTGTTTCTTATTTTCTGCTATGATAAATAATGCTGCAGTATATATAGATACACATGTATAAATATAAATAAATATTATATACATATATAAATAATTGTGCCTGTCTGTTTCTCTAGGATACATTTTACAAACATAACACCCAGCATAAGCATATTCAGTGGCTCTTTCTAGTGAGGCACAGTGGAAAGAGTGTGACTCTGGGTCCAGACATTGCTGATCTATTCTGCTTCTGCCACTTTCTGGACGTGTGACCTTAGGCACACTACCTCACTCTGCTGAGCCTCGTTCCCTTATCTGTTAAACAGGGATCGTATTGCTCATCTCCACTGCTTTGATGAGAACTACATGAGGTAGTGCTTCTAAAGTTTCTGATATGTGGGGAGTGTTCAATGCATGTTACCTCTTCCTTCCTATGCATGGATTAGTTTGCGCACACGTGTACGCACAAGTCTGGGTGTGTTGAATGTAGTGAAGAAAATGTGCTTACAAGATTTTATTCAGTCTGAAGAAAAAAGTAAAACTGACTTGCAAATAGACAAATTTTGACTACAGATGGTCCCCAACTTATGATAGGTTGACTTAAGGTTTTTAGAATTTTCAATGGTGCAAAAGTTATACATATTCAAAATCATACTTTTAGTACCCATGCAAACACTGTTTTTCACTTTCAGTACATTATTCAATAAATTACATGAGTTATTCAATACTTTATTATAGAATAGGCTTTGTGTTAGATGATTTTGCCCAACTCCAGGCTTATGCGAGTATTCTGAGCATGTTTAAAGTAGGCTAGGCTTAAGCTATGATGTTTGGGAGGTTAGGTGTATGTATTAAATGCATTTTCTACTTGTGATATTTTGAATTTACCATGGGTTTATCAGGATGTAATCCCATTGTAAATCAAGAAGCATTTGTATAAAGAACACTTTCAGTGAAAGAGAGACCTATTTAAAATCTAAGATACTGATAATGAAGAGAGAAATCGGAGTCCTCAGAACTGTAGTTTTCTTTGTGCTGGGTTGTCCAGTCACTATTTCTAACATCTTTCCTCGTGCCCTTTCTTTCTCAGTGCTCATTTTCAAACTCTACCAGCGGGCAAAGCATGTATATAGCGAGGCTGCTCGAGTCCTCCAATTTAAGAAGATATGTGAAGAAGCACCTGATAACATGATCCAGCTGCTGGGAGAGTTAATGAACCAGAGTCACATGAGTTGCCGGGACATGTATGAGTGCAGCTGCCCTGAGCTGGACCAGCTGGTGGACACCTGTCGGTGAGGCTGAGAGAACAGCATGGTGGGGACCAAGGGATGCCACCAAAGAATACAGTTTAATGAAAAAAAAATGCAATATTTTTATAATCTTCTCAATGAAAAGAGATCCTTCCCCCACATGCTGTATATGAAAGGTCTCCCGTGATACAGAGCTGAACTCGTTCCTCCTAAATATCTGTAGGACATGAGATTCAAGAACTGGCTCCATGGATTTATTAGGCTCTGGACTTGGAGTCAGTTCTGTACAACATCGTTAAGAAAAACTTTCCCACATTTGGATGATTAGGCCTTTCAGGAAGGTAACTTTTCTCAGACATGGGCCCTGTTGCTACTTTCTCATGATATTTTAATTGTTATACTGCTGCTCTGCCAGAAACTCCTGTATCGTTTTCTAATTAAGTTTAGTAGTTCTATTCAGAAGAGAGAAAACTGAAAGAGAGCCTCAAGCTTGATAGGAGAGGATGCTGAAGGAATCACTCAGACAGCCAGCATTTTCTGCCTTCTGGGTTTAGTTTAGGCAATTTGGGGAAATAAGGACTGAAGAAATCCCAGTTTAAAAGTGGTCAGTTGAAATAGAAGTGTAGAGAGTTGTCTTCACAAAGTCTGAAGACAACTTCTTTGTAATTATGAAAGGACGGGAATAGTAGGGTAGAGTGGCCCCTTACCCAGGAGGGAGCTCACTGACCTTGGGAGAACTGCAAGGGGAACTGAGAGAACTCAAGTGGCTACGTGTTATTTCACTGTGAGAGGATAATAACCACTTGGTGCCTGTGGCTTGCCTCACTCATTGCCACACTCCCAGCCTGAAAAGTTTAAACCAAGTTAGTTCCAGTGAAATGGCATGTGGGCATGTGTAACCCCACTTGTTGGGAGACTTGAACACAGCATTGATGAGAATCATCCTGCTGACGTCACTGTTTGCTCACTAATTGCCAAAAAGCCTTCCCAAACTTCTTTCATTATAAATTCTCTTTTTTGAAAGAATTAAGGGCCCAGTAAATGGAAGGTACAATTATTGTTCGTTTCTGGAAATAAGAGGAAGTGAAATGATTTGTGCAGAAATCAGAAAGAAGTGTGTTTGTCTGGAAGGCAGTGGGATGGTTTGGATCCCACCTGAAAAGCAGTGGAGGTACATTTATCAACCTCCTATAATTCTCTAATGAGCTTCCTCTTCCTGGGATGGTCAACCAGCACTTGCTCTTATGGAGTTTACATTCTCACGAGGAAAGACAGAAATGACAATTAAAAGTAATTTGGATGGTAATGATAAGTGCTGTGAAAAAAAAAAATTAGAAGGGATAGAGACTACCAGGGTTGGGTGGGTACTCTTGTTTATGGAGTGGTCGAAGAAGGCCTCTCTGAGGGAGTAATATTTGAGCAGAGATCTGAAGGAAGTGAAGAAATGAAATCAGCAAGTGCATGGGACCTGAAATGCGTATACATGGTTGTCATGTGTAAGGCACAGCAAGAAGACCAGTATGGTGGAGGGCACTGAAGGAAGGAGAAAGGAGTAGGTGAGGAAGTGAGAGACGTAGTACAGAGTCGTACCACATGGGCCCTGTAGGCTGTTGGGCCGGTACTGGGATCTGAACCCGTGACCTTGGTGTTACGGGCTGCACTCTAACCAACTGAGCTAACCCACCAGACTGTTAGAAGAGCTCTGGCTTTGAGAAGAGAAAGGGGGCAGTGGAAGTGCCTAGTGATTCAATGCCAGAGATGCCTTGAAGGAAGAAGATTCCTGACTATTGTTGTGTAGGTTAAAGAGAGGAATCAAGATGACTCCTGGGTTTTTCCCTGAGAAACTTTCCTTGTTTCTCTGAAAGCCACTTTTTTGGAAGCCACATTTCACAGTTCTGGTCAGAATTATCTTACAGTACTATATAAGACATTAGAGCAGGAAGAGGCATTAGAAGAAGACACTAAGAGGTTAAGTAATTTGAATGAGTTCACATGATGAGTTAGTGGCAAAGCCTGGCCCCCAATCCAATGTTTTTGCCATACCTACCTCTCTCTCCTTGGGTTATACTGAGATGTGATCACACTCAAGTGTGGGCCTTTTTTTTTTTTTTTTTTTAAAACCTATTTTCATCACCTAGCTTTGAAGCTTTATGATGGATGGAGGCTTTGGTTGCCATAGTTTCCAGCATTTGAACATTGAACAAAGCCAGGTTGAGGAGGGAGACAGCGAGTAGAGTAGGATGAAAATTGGGCTGGAAGTTAGGAAGGTTGAGTCTAGCTCTACCTCTTTTTCATTCTGAGCTCTGTGACTTTGGACTGCCTTGCTTTATGACGTCCAGTATCTTTTTCTGTTCTAGCAGTCTATGGATCTGTATATTTTCTTTAAAAAAATGTTTCTAGTGAAAGATTTTTGTGGCTATGTCTTAAATGGGTTTGGAAGAGCACCTTTATTTATTTTTAAATTTTGTTTTGGGAAACTCCTTTCTTAGTGGCAGCTAAAGTGTTTCTAAGTAGAACATTTTCATCTGCTGCATTTAATTTTCTGAGAAAAATTCAATGGTTTCCGGTGTAAGGAGCTCCATCCCTTTTTCATGATTGTTTTTGTTTGGAAAGTCAATTGGTAAGTATCAAAATTATTTTCTATTTGTCCCAGAATCGTATAGGGTCTGAGTTTCCCATGTTGAAAGATCATTTTCTGGCATGTCGAAAGTATTGGCCAGAATAGTTGTCTAGTCCTTAAGCTTCTTATATATTTAATTTTGTCTTTGCTGTCATTGTGACCAGCAGATAATATTCTCCAAATATTCCAATTGGTTGCTAGATACTACAAGGTCCTAAGTGGCAGAGCAACCTCAGAGGAGGATAGTCCGGGAGAAATAAGTAGATGCAGTCATGATGTCATTATTTCCTTCAGTCAACATGTACTTTCCTCATGGGCATTTGTATACCATGTGAAATTGCAGTTTAATCTCCATTTTCAAAAGCTGTGGCACTTTCTTTTGTGTGAATGTCTGAGAAGTGATGAGGGAAGAAGGAGGGGTTCAGAAGAATGCAGAAGATAGTGGCAGTAAGATAAAGGATGGTTAAAAACTGCGGGGGGAAGACAAATGTTAGGAGAGGAGCAAGTAGTAGGCACGGGGAAAGGTTCAGACAAATGAACAGTGGAGACACTCTTAAGCCCTAATTCCTTCTGAAGCCTTGCAACTGTCTCACTGGGCCAGGCAGAGGAACTGCTGTATGTGCTGGTAAGGGCCCTGATGTGGGCCCTGTATGCTACAAACTCAACCTCTGGTGGAGTGTTGCTTTGTTTTAGAACCACCACCACCTCCTCACTTCCCTGCTGCCTTTAACAACTGTAATATCAGTGGGGAAGGTGTGACTAAGACTGCTCAGCCTGGGCAGGTTGGTTGTCTTTGGGAGACCTGAAGAGAGAGGAGGGAAGCTGAAATGGGTTCAAGGAGGAGCACTGCCAAAGATAATCCTTAGATCATCCTCTCTGGTCTATCTGAGGCACTTTAAAATTCCGTAGTGTTTCTGAAGGCCTTCTTGGAAACTATTTGCATGAAAAGACAACTAATGAATCAGTGAGTGAAGGACTTGAATGCCTAGAATATCCAAGACTCAGGCAAAAATCTTAGTGTGATCTGAGCTAGAATGTACTCAAAGGCGTCTCTAGGGAATTAGCCCATAGGACAAAATATAGGACAACTTTATGTCCCAAAAGGAAAGGAGTCAGGGGAGGGACAAAAGAGTAGAAGAAGAGGTCCCCAATGCTTGCTGTTTTCTCAGTTGACCCTTTTACTGCTTTCAAGAATAAATCAGTTTAGAATCCATTAGAATCCCAAGAAAGGACCAGGGAGGCAGAAAGAAACAACACTTATGCAGTTAGGCTGTTTATTTCTTTTATTAAATTAATGTTAAAACTTCAATTATGTGAAACAAAGTATAATAATGAAAGAAAAAGTTGATGTTTGCCCAATTATAAAATATCTCTTTTAAATGAACGAAATGTAAATGTAAAGGAATCACTAAATTTTAGAGTAGAATTTACTGAGGAACACAAAACAGTTTTGAAGTCAATTACATGTAAAACAACTCATTCGTCATCAATTCCCTGGTTTTACTTAAGACAAAATACTTAATGCCTTTTATTTCCGTTCTGACACTTGTTGAAATTAGGATTCATTGCTGCATTATTGCCTAAGCTGTTAAGGAAGATGAATGACAAATCTTAATGGACCAATAAAGGTTACAAAGGTTGATTTGCTTTGTCTTCCTCAGAGGTCTTTCCACAATTTTATTCCATGGCTAGGCTGCTCAGCGTTTTGCACTTATTCTCCTGACCAGGTCAGAATAGGAAAGAATGAAGTACAAAGCCATTGCTGTACGAGGAGCTCTTTTCCCCAAGACCTTAAGTGCTAATCTGCAAACCCTGCCAAAAAAAAAAAAGGGAGAGAGCCATTTCAGCTGCCCGTAGGGGCTAACTTCTCTTTGGGCCTCTGTCTTCCACTTACTGACAAATATGCCATTTGCTGCATCCAAACCAACTGTTATGCAATGGCCTTTACTGGCTTACATTTCTAAAATAGACTCTTAGGCATGTTTTTGTAAACTTTCTTATTTGAACAGTATTTGAGGGCTGTAGTTTCTTGAATCTAAAGCAATCTCAAAGTGTTGTTTCTAACCTGACTGTAAAAGTCATAAAAATTATGCTAGAAGGTCTGCTTTCCTGAGATTCTTGCCAGTTTCCAGAGAGCAGAAGCTAGAAGTCTTCCCAGGTAAAGAATACACTACCAACTGCTTATATTTATATATAACATATTTTTTGCCTGTTCAATCATTCAGATTTTTATTTTTTTATTAATTTATTTTTAATTGACACCTATTAATTGTACATATTTATGAGGTACAGAGTTATATTTCAATGCATGTATACAATGTGTGATGATTAAATCAGTGTAATTAACATATCTATCATTGCAAAAATTTTATATATTTTCATATTTTAAAACAAATATAATAGTCCAGCAGCCATTTATTAGAACCAACCAAATGCCTGGAATCGTGCTGGACTGGATTTAGAGAGATGGATATAACCTAAATTAAAAATTTCCTGAAATAATTAATTTAATATCTATTTGTCTAATATATAAATATTTACTTATTTTGAAATTAATGAAATTGAATAGAAATACAAGGCATAATTCCTTACTTTTGCTCTTTCTAGTCTGAAGTGCAGTGGGGTCTCTGGGGATCTACTCCCTGCCCTCTCCATTGCCCTCTGCCTTGCAAAACTTAGTAAGTGCTTTATGGTCAAATCATTTCATTTAAAAGTAGGGAATTTTAGACTATATTGGGTGTCTGGACAGTTAGTTTTCAGTGATAAAAAAGGATCAAAGGGAACATTTCTTATAATCTCTCTCTCTCATTTGTCCTAGCCTTTGTTTTGTAGATCATGCTTTATAAGGCAGAGGCTGCTTTTGTTGCTTTGACAAATCCTTTCACATTATTTCCGATGCAGTCTGCACGATCATTGACGTGGTAGATGGGAGATTTTAGGGTTTTTGTTTTTCGCAACTCTTGTATTAGCTCTCTGATGTACAATAATAGCTCAGGCAATATATTTTTAATATCTTACTATTCTCCCAGAAAAAAAAATGCAAACATGAGAAGTTTACTAAGCACTATTGGCTTGCCTCCTTTCCTTTCTTAATTTAAGGCTTATATTGGTCTCCTACCTTTTGGACTTCTCTTTCTCTTCTGTGGCTTACACCAAAGGGCATATTAAGCACCAGTGGGATTACTGCAGACAGGATCTTTGTGCCTTTGTGAGTGTGTGTAGTTGGGCAGGCTGCTGGCCAGCTGCTTGGGCAGCCCTGATTTGTGAACTAAGTGTCACTAACTCAAGGGCAGAAGGCTATTTATAATAGCACTTATCATTCTCTACTTGGGAAATTCGAGCCCTGCTGGTTTCAGAGCATGTGTTTGATGCAATCTAGTCCATTTTTATCTGCAGCAGGCAGCGTGGTGACAGGGCAATTCTGGAGACTCAGAAGTGAATATATTTACCTAGAAAGACTTCCAGCTTCTACTCTCAAAACTGGCAGGAGTCTCAGGAAAACAGGCCCTCTGGCACAGTTCCTATGGTTTTTACAGCCAGATTAGAAACAACACTCTCATTTTGCTTTAGGTTCAATTTTGAAACCACAGCTTCCAAAAACTGTTTAAATGGGAAAGAATAATATAATATGCGTACAAGTCCATTGAAAACCTTTAAAAACTTGGTGACTTAAGTCCAGCAAAATGGCATAGCTTGGGTTTTAGAAAATCAAGTAAGAGGGTGCATTTTTCTTTTTGAGACCATCCCATGGTTGGGTTTCATGCCCAGATTTTAGGGTCTTCCAGAGATGCTTCAGCAACATCTCAGTTTTCCCCAGCATCTTCCACAGTGAGAGATAGTTTGATGTGACTGCATATGACAACCATTTTTTAAACCAACAAACTGAAAATGGGCCACTTGGCAGCCTAGGAAGTCAGAATAGTTTCAGAATCCCAGGGTCAGAGAAACTTTTCAACCTGGATGATGGGAGTTTGGGCTCAGTTCAGCTACTGGGCCACAAGCTGAATGTTTGAGGAACAGGAGGAAATCAGTAATCTTTATTTGTTTATAAGCATGTTTTTCCTCCTTAAGCATCTATTTTCATTTGAAACAGATGATGAAAATAAATCAGTTGAGAAAATTATTAAGGGGAAAATGAATTACTAGTGTGCAGTAATTCTGATGTCCCAGATTAGGGGTGATATTCTAGTGATATTTTGCAGGAAATAAAGCAGGATATTTAGATGGAAAAATGAGATAAAACTGTGCTAAATTAATTATGAAGTTTTTAATCTGCTACTAATTTGGAGTAAATTTTATTTGGATGAGTTGTCATGGTAGATTGCATCTTTTCAAGATGAGTGATCCTTGCACTTTGTATAGGGGCTTTCACTTTGGTTCACATCTTAGGTTTGAAACTGTGCCTGCTTGATGGTAACTAAAATTACCTCTTGCTGTGTGGTAGTTTATATAGTCACTTCCATCCCAATCAGACACATCTCATCTGATGGAAAATTCTGAGTCCAGTTGTCAGACCAGCTCCAGAAGACACAAGGAAAGATGGTAGGGACCTGTAAGGGCTACCATCCTCTTTGTGGAAAGGTTTGTATAATTTTCCATTAAACGAACCTAGAGTTTAACAAGTTCTTTGTTGATAAATTTATTCAGCATGAATCTAAGCTATCTGTTCTAGGAGACTGATTCTTTTACGTAATATAGCCAAGACTTAAGAATGCAGCTAAAGTAGTCACTGGAGGAAATCCCCATTTGTCTAAGACTATTCACTTTAAATTTTGATTTACCCTCATTTGGAGTGACCTGACTCAGGTTTGCCTGAATTTCTTTTTACCATTGCCTGTTTTCTTTTTACTTCTTCCTGATTTACCTGTAGGCTTGCTACACAAATCTTCAAGGGGCTATTTATGGAATCAAGACTACAGTGGGTTATTGTCAGTCCTCATGAAACAGTAGTACTTTCTGACTTTTACTACTCGCAGCTAAAACCAGGAACTAGTTTTAGATACAATTTAAAAAATTCCAAATCACTTTCTGAAACAGTATAAATTTCTTAATGTCCTAGAATGTTTGACAACACCCTCAAACCCCCCACATATTTTCTTCTCAGAACTTGAGTAGGCTAAATGTTCTATAAACACCAAGCAAATCACTCTTATTTTTATTTATAGTTCTAATTTTTTGTTCTCATTGTTTTAGGAAGTTTGGAGCTCAAGGGTCACGACTTACTGGAGCAGGATGGGGAGGCTGCACAGTATCAATAGTACCGGCTGACAAGCTGCCCAGCTTCCTAGCAAACGTGCATGAAGCTTATTACCAGAGGAGTGATGGAAGCTTAGCACCTAACAAGCAGAGTCTGTTTGCTACCAAACCTGGAGGCGGGGCTTTGGTTTTCCTTGAGGCCTAAACAATGTAAAAAATCTCAGAGAAACTATTTTGGGCATTTAGGAACTGGCAGGACTTCCTATCCCACAGTAAATTAATCTTCTTTCTGTTTTGTATTATGAGAATGATTGCTTTTATCAAGATATACTTCCAGAGAAACAGTCGAAAGCTCTCTATGATACTTCATAATGATTATTTTTCCATCTCAAAATATGGGGTTTTTTTTATTGTTGTTTTTTTTTCTACCAATAAGAGCCAAGGTTATGCTTGGATAGATCTTTTAAGAATGATTTATTGATTTAAAGATGTTAAAGATGTGTGGTAAAACACACTCTCAATACTGAGTTCACAGGTTGGATTTGAATTAAACAAACTGCTACAATTAAACTGATACCACTGAGTTGTATCCATTATTCTTGAACTGAGTTCATTTCTGGTTTCTGTTAGCTTTCTTCTTCCTCAAAGTTGTAGTCTTCTGTTTTTGATGATGATGATGATGATGATGGTGATGCCAGAAATTCTTTCTCAATTTTAGCTTCAGAATGCTATGAAAATAATGCATGATTAAGGATTCACAGATTTTCTTGGACATCAGACTTGAATGTGAGACTCCCCCAATTATCAAGATTTATTATTGATAAATAAATAATAAATAATAATAAAGGGATCACTTTGGGGGGGGGCAAAAAGTTGATTTAGGAAAAAAAATTCCAGGCTTATTTAAATTTCTTTTTAAACCATATAATAGCACATAAACAATCACTCTCAATTATTTGGCTCTGAGCTATCTCCGTCACTTAATAGATGAAAGACACTTTAAATCTCTTTTTCACTTTGAAATAGAGAATTATCTAGCTAATAATTCAGATAATTTGATTTGTTCATGGAATTTACTTTCTTTCCACTCTACTTACCTTTTCTCAAATGCTTCTCCAATCCAAGAGGCATGCTTACTGTTTTGGGAAGCCCACCCATGCCTTACATCCCTTTTTTGTATGTCTAGCAAGGCTTGTTTTTATGTGTGGGTTAGGGCAGGTGTGTAGGTATGTGGGTGAGAGTGAGTTTGAAAAGGCTTAAAGTGGATTCTGGGTTTGTTATTGGTGTTGGTGGGTGCTGATGTGTGTTTATCAAGAGTGAGCAGAAATGTTTGGCTATGTAGTGATGGCAAATGAATGGCTTTCTCTCATGGACAAGCTACAGGAAGCCCTTCCTGAATTATATGATGATTTAGATCAAAAAGCATTTTGCTGAAATACTCAAATAATTGAGACAACAGTGGTTTTATGGTATGAATTATCCAGAAAATTATCACAATTTTCTATTAGTCTATGATGTGTTTGCATTAATGTGCAACTCAAAGATTGGGCATCATCCTCTAAAATTTCAGTTTCAGAGAGGCTAAGCAAAGCTGGGTGTAATATTTCTTAAAGGACAACCGTCATACATAAAGTTCTGGGAAAGCCAATATTCTATTCTAAAATAAACTTCTGGTGCATTTTCATTCTTAGCAGGAAGGTAAACACTTGTAAAAGCCTAAGTCAAATTTGTTGAAAGAATTTTGAGTGCTTTGAACCCAATAATTCAAAACCTGAATTTATTTAAATTCATAATCCTTTGTGTTTTAATACCTTGCCATTTTCCACTAAGGATTTGTGGTTGGTATATAATTCTTTAAAGATACCTGGATCACTGTAAAAAATGGTGCTTGTCATTGCTTTGTTATTCTTTTTATATTCTATTTAAATTTTTCACCATGTGATTCCTTCTTTGCAATAGGTGAGTAAAAATCTCTGGTGTTCACTCCTCTTTGGGAGAAACACACAGTTGTTCTAAGCCAGGGATCTATTCTGTATTCGTTTTGATTTCTGGATTGAAAGAAAGGACTTTGTTTCAGTCCCACCATCACTAAGTGGTGTTCTAGAAAATATGAGAGATACCTAACTTATTTAGAAAAGACAGGGCTGGGGCCATTGGGGCGCGGGGGGGGGGGGG